TTATTTTTTCAAACTATACTTAATAGTTTATTATTACCTAGTTTTTTTTATTTTTTATTCATAATATTAATTAATATAATATTAATTACTATATATATATATTAATAGTAATAATATTTATTATTACTAATATAATATTAATTACTTTATATATATTAATAGTAATAATAATTATTATTACAAATATATTATTAATTAATATATATATATATACATTAATTTTAATTTAACAATAAAATTATATTGACATTTTTATTACAAATATAATTAATTAATATAATTTTTTTTTCTATTTGGGTATAATAATATTTATTATTATATTATTTTTTTAACAAATTACATTTTAATTTTCATAATATTTAATATATTTTTTTAATATAATTTTAATATATTTTAATATTTAATATTAAAATTTAATTAATAATTTTTAATATATTTTTTTAATATTTAATATATATAAATTTAATTTAATATTTTTAATAATATTTAATATATTTTTTTAATATTTAATATTTTTTAATTATTTAATAATATTTAGTTTTTTTTAATATTTACTAATATTTAATATATTTTTTTAATTTAATTATTTTAATAATACAAAAAAAAAAATTAACCTGTCCGGCCGGTTCTTGACCGGCCGGAGGGGCCGGATCGGATCACGTCCGACCGGCCCCGTCAAACGCGCGTCCTACAGGGCGACCGGTCGCTTGGACCGACCGCCCGCGGGCCGTACGGTGGGCCAGACCGTACGACCCGAGCCCGTCCGGTTGCGCCGACCGGACGGGCGACAGAATTTTTTTTTTCGTTTTTATTATGAACAAAATGTAAAAAAAAAAAAAAAACCTTGTTAGAGAAGAATGCTTTCCCGAAGCCGTAGGATTTTTTCGACATTTTTTTGGATTTTTTTCGATAGTCGAATGGCTCGTTAAAGTGTATAACCTTTTAGAGAGATAAAAATTGTAGACAGAAAGTAAAAACTTATGAAAATAGATTAGGGACAAAAACGTAAAAGGGGGGGCGGTGACTAGTAAAAGAGGGGCGGTGAATAGCAAGTCACTTAATTTATGTAACAGTAATATGTAATACAGTGACAAAATTGAGAAAA